GAGAGAGAGAGAGAGAGAGAGAGCGAGAGAGAGAGAGAGAGAGAGAGAGTTGAAAATAATATAGAATTGTTTATTTGTCTTTATAAAAAATAAAATTAGAAATAATAATTTTATCATTATGATATGTACCATGTGATAGTAATCATAAGATATCCTGTATAGGAATAATTTTAGGCAATAATTGCTAAAATACTTATAAATATATCAAAAAATAATTTAGAAAAATAATAAATTATAAACAAAATATATTCACAATAAAACTTTAATAAAATTTAAATTATTATTAAAATGAATACAAATTGCAAAGAAATACACTTAGATTTGCGCATTAATGTCCGCCAATAGACGGATCAATTGGGACTTAATCCGTTGCCCATCTTTGACCTGATCCGCGGTCGCCGTCCGTATAATGTTCTCTACTTTATTCAAACTGTTGACCACTTCTTGTCGATCCGATTGAAGTGTTTTTAACTTAAAATTGTTCAGTAATTTGAGTCCATTTTGAATGTCATTCTCGAACCCCTTTAACTCCTGTTCGAGTCTATCGGTTGTCTTGACTCGATTGACGAGACTCTCGTAGACCCGCTTAAGACTGTCTTCCAATTGGATGCGCTTCCGAGCGATCAGTTGTCGGGCGACTGCCGCCGGGTTTTGATCCGTATGTTTGGCCAAAAACAACGACTCCGACAATAACTGTCGGTTTAATTGGTGTTCAGTGGCAAACATTGTTTCTAAACTTGAGCCAACTTTTTTGTACGCGTCGACCAGGGTCGTAAAATTGCCCTGCCCATCCACCCTGGTCAATTGGGACTCTAGTTCGTTAATATTGTCAACCAATTCCTTCGCAAGTTGTTTGGGCGCACCTTCGAGGCCAACGATGGTCGACATCTGTCCTCCGATGTCTTTGTTGATGCTCTTCACGGTATTGAACATATCGGCCAAATGGCCAAACAAACCGGTGCTCGGCTTACCGTTTGCGTTGCCATTGGCTCCGTCGCCACCGGTGCTCACGATTTGCCTGTCAATGTCCGCCAATCGACGGCTAAGTTGTGACTTAATCTGTTGCGCTTCTTTGGCCTGATCTCCGGTCGCTTTTCCTATCCATTCCTCCACTTTAGACAACTGGTCGACCACTTCTTGGCGACCGCTGTGTTGTGTTTTCGCCGTTTGTTTCTCAATAGTTTTGAACATATTTGCGAACTCCTGGGCCACCGGTTTGAATCTCGCGTCAGTGTTGGCCCGAGTTTCCAGACTATTGTGAATCCGCTTAAGACTGTCCACCAATTGTCGGCGCGTTTGAGCGACCAGTTGTAGGACGACTGTCAATGGGTTCTGACCGCTTGGGTTGACATTAGTGGCCCCCAAAGCCGACGACTGTAATAATAACTCGCGGTTTAACTCGTTTTCCGTCACTAACGAGTAGTCTATAAGTACGCCGACGTCTGAATACGCTTTGCCCGCGAGGTTTGCTGTATTAGCCGACCTCTGACTCAAGTCGGCCTCCAATCGGGTCAGATTAGCGGCAAATGCCGTCACAAGTTGTTTGGGCACACCTTCGAGGCCTGAGATGGCCGACAACTGTGCGCTCATCCCTTTCACGGCGTTCAACAGATCTCCCAAACCAGTGATCGCGTAAGCGTTTATCATGTCATCCACTCCGGCCGTATCGGCGCTCACTATTTAGTTAGTATTAGTTATAGTTATCATTATTTGATTACTGTTTTAATGAATACTTACCGTTATTGGGAACGCACAGGACGTCCGCCAAAAGTACTACAAAAATTGCAATTTTCAACATTTGTTTGTATTTTTAAATTTCTTAAAAGAAATGGCGATTGAAAAGTATTTTTTCAAATGTTTAATATATCATTACAACAGATGTTAATTAATTAAAGCCAAAGACATAGTATAATATAAATGAGTTAATGTCAAAGTAATACTTTTACCAATATAATAGTATTTATAATGAATATATGTATGAAATATATTAATTTAGCTATAAATAAAATTCATTGTTTAAATTTATATTTTGATGTAGATTTGACCGAAAGTAAATATTCCGGTTTAGATATTACAAAAGTGTATAAATCACAATACATTGCATATTGATTGAAAGGTATGGCCTTTGGTTTGAAATTTATAAATAATTTTGTAATGTTATCT